CCCGTCGTTTTCTGGGGCCTCTGCCTCTCAGCCGCCGCGCGTGCCGCATCGACGAGGCCGAAAACTAGGGTGCCCTCGTCCGGGAGCGGCCGCGGCGCACGGCATGTGATGGAACAGCAGCTGACTTGCGCGGCTCCGCTGGCTGTGGGTGCCCCGGCGGCACAGGCGCACAGCGACCCGCCGCCCGCGTCGGCGCACCGCGCACAGATGCCCTGGGCTGATCCGCTAGTTTTTTAAATAGTCTCGCACGGGCAACAAAACCGTCGCGCGCGCGTCCGTGTGAATCATTCTCCACCGTCCGCCGGCCGGCCCGGTTGCCGAGCTGGACGATAGCTAGCGCTCCAGCCTCCAGCGCGTGTGTACGGGGTTGACCTGCGCAGGATATGTGCTTGCATTGCCATTAATGGCCTCGCAAGCTCGCTGCAGTGCTGTGCTCGCGTCGATCGATGCTTGCTGACTTGGGGAGAGATCCATGTCCTGCGCGCGGCGCCGATCCGCATCAGGGAATCGAGCTCACTCCCGGACGGCTCTCTAGATCACACGTCGCTGTTCATTCTACCTGCTGAAGGCTTTGGAGCTCCGAAGCGGCTGACTTTTGCGATGAATTGATGGTTGAAAGCATGCGTCAACGTTGTTGTTGTTGTTGTTGCGTATATTATAGATAGATGCTGATCCTGTCACGGAACGTCATGTAACCCTCTGTTGCCTAGCGCTGGATGTGTATGGCTCAAAGCTCATGGAGTGGCTATCGTTTTTCTGAGGATTTCTGAATGCAATGGTCCAAAACGTCTGCAGAACTGGTGGCCTGAGAGTTTCTGAAACCCGCATAATAAATTCAGCAGGTTTTGCTATATGAGGAGGTTTCACTTCGAGGACTACAAAATTCTGAGTTGCGTCCTGATAATAGTAGCCATCGGATCAATCCTGTTCTCTAAAAACAATCACCCACCTCTGCCATAATAAAAGCCAACATGAATCAACCTCCTGAATATATACATCTAAATTACTCAACCTGCGTGAGCAAATCTGGTACTATGTTTATGCTAAAGTTTAGCAAGAAAATGGCTCTATGACACATGGGACATAGGATTAAGAAAGTTCAGCGTAGTTTTGGCATGAACCAAACATATACAGTGCTTACGAAATTGTAACGCGTCAGCTTATAAGTGTGGCAAGTTGTAGACATAAACCAATCAAAGCCTAATCAAGTCCATGTCTATTGACGTAACAAGGCCAGGGTGTTACTACAGGTGCGTGAACTTGCTCGACAAAGCTGCCAACCACCAACGCAAACACGGCTTCGTCCACGTCGAAAGAGACACAAGCGTGCAGCAGAGGTGTTGTAGTAAGTCAGAACCTTACTAGCAGTAGGGATACTACTAATACTAGTCAGCTGGGCACTGTTTTGTGGACAATGGTCGTCGGCCGTTTACATACACTCCGACATGACACTACCTTGCTGACAGCCGACCCCGTCGTCCACGATCAGCTCCGACACCAAAAGTCAGCCCTTGAATCATTCGTGAAAACGCAGCTAATAATCGTGCAAGAAAGGAAGAGAGGATTAGCATGAAACAAGATCTCATGGCGGCACCCTTGCATTTCCGGGCTCATTAACTGCAGTCCCGATCGGCGACGGATCGTCGTCAGTCACCCTGTGGCGTGGCTCCGGCGTTCACGTGCCTGCCAATCGTGTGCAGAGAGTGTGCCCAACAAGTTTTCTGATTTTTTTTTTTTTTTTTTTTGCAGTTCGCAGTTCTTCGCGCACAGAAAAGAGCGCCTGGATAAGGAAATTGGAATGCAGGCCGCGCATTTATTGCGATGAGCTAGCTAGCGGTTAGCAGCAGCTCCCTAGTCCGGCCTCGTCACTTTTGATTGACCCTGGATCATCAAGCCGGTGCCTCCTTCCTTCCTCTCGTGGCTTTGCTTTGCAGCTGCAGATCGCTCACGATGTCCAGCTGAAACAGAGAAAGATGTATGCATGCCGAATTGAGGCTGGGAACGTTCGTACTTCGTTGGTCCGTTCTCCATGACTCCATCTCCATGCATCTGTGTGGCGGAGCACAGCGCGGAGGCTGACTTTGTTTCAACCAAATCATACCTGCTGGACAATGGGCGGATGTGTCATGCACACGATTGAGCTGACCTGTCCAATTTCCAGTTGAAAGACAGGTAATAGGTATTCCAATTTTCAGTGGATCGAATAAGCGCCATGAATCAACTGCGGCATTCGGTTTTACTTTGCATCCACCAATCTATCTATCTACAAGCGGTTCTGACCGTATACTCGTTCCTTCTTTTCAGCTCTCAAAGTACAATTGCAGCAATTACTATATACTAATCTGAAAGATTTAAACTACTTATACTCGTCAAAAAGGCCGTATGAAATCGCCTTGCTACCCTAGCCTCGCCAACCAACACTCTCCTCTCCTGCGACGCGGTGTTGGTGTGGCTTGTGGCTCTGGTATATGATGGTCCTTTAACTAACTGCGACAACGCCAGCCAGCCCTCGGTGCTGCCACCCTGGAGCAGGAGGTGGACCGGACAATGTCGTAGCCCTGTTGGCCACGGCCAATAACAACAAACCGCAGCTTGACCCGCGACCGGCCGGCTGACCTCGGGATGCCAAATTTCCTCGCTCATTTGACCCACTTGCGCTTTCGTTCGTAAACCCCGAGACTAGTAAGTTTTTGCGGCTTTTCACGCGATTTTTGGCCACGGAATGGAAGGCCGGCAGCGCTTTCACCTGCATCCTGCATCCTGCTAGGCCGTATCTTGGTCTGGACGTGCTGCATACGCCCGCTCGTTTCGCAGGTGCTTTAAAAGACGTAGCATCTATACAGCTTTCTTTCGTGGAATGGAATGGAAACGCCTCGTCTATGAGACTGACAGGGATGTAGTGCGTAGGCTTTTTGTGGCGCCTGTTTGGCTGTGCTCCATGATATTTAGAGCCAGTCTGCCATTATTTATATTAGAGAATATATTAGCGCTGGCGTGTAGTGTAGTAGAGTTTGGCGGGGGGTGTGCTCGAACTTATAGTAGAGTTTGGGGGGGTATCTTGCGCGATGGGTCTTACCATTCAGAATGCAAGTAGTATAACACGTCAAGTTGGAATTTTAAACGGTTTTCAGCACCACGTAGACTGCGTCATGAATTAACTGGAAGATCCGAAAAATTTTCCATTTATTTTTTGACAAGGATTCAAGGAAAAGGGTAGACTGACGACCTCTGTTCTCCATTAGTTTAGTCGTTTAGACCTCTCGCCATCTCAACGGTCTGGCTCTCAGTCTCTGACACTAGCGTCATTTCTTGACTACGTACATTCATTTCTCCTCAACGAGGGCTAGCTACTACAAACGTACGGAAGCCGTTTCTCTCCGTTGAACGCAGATGTTTCAAACCAAACTTAAAATTCTAACCGATCGAGCCTAGCTTTGATCCATTCTGCGATTTGAGCTTTGCTAGCTAAACATGCGGCGATGATTGATACTCGAAATCAAGCATGCACAAAATGCATTGATTAGATACAAATGTAAGTAACTGCACTAACAGTCCATCGTCTAGCTAGTACTGTACATAGTAACTGACTTTATTTACATTTGTTTTGGGAGGACCTTATTTACGTGTAGCTTCGTGTGCCAGCTTCCTTAAAGCGTACCTTAGTACTGCTAATCTGATCCATAAGGAGATCCCGACGAGATTACCAACGTAGATTGTTTCACGCTGGTATCCCCGGTCGTCGAAGCAACTGACCGCGAGCAGCCATGTGGCGGACTGGCGGTAAACTCTCGTAGAGTTTTTATGCCTGCCAACTCCAGATTCTCTGTTCTGATCAGACCACGTAACGTAACGTACTTGCAGCAGTTGACGATTGACATTCAGCGTCGTTCATGCTCATGCATGCGTGCGCCTTACTCTAATCTTAACTTCTCAAGCAGTCTACACAGTCTACGCCTGATTAAAGGAAAAAGATGCGTCATTTGTAGTTAAGTTGAGACAACTAATTAGCCGCAGACCTTCTCTGTTGTGTGCCTGGTACGGTAATAGTACTCACTAAGCTATAGTAATGCAAAATCTTTATTTGTATTGTTCTATGTATACAAGGAACATTTGCAAGGCTTAAATATAATGGTTGCTCTGATCTGATGAGCATCGGGCCGTCAGTCAAATGTTTTGCATTCTAACGTAAACATCTTGTAAGTAATGGACTAGAGTTCAGACGGGTGAAAATGACTGCAAGTTCCTAGAAAAAAAATTCAAAATAGAACCAAATAGTTGCAAGGTCTGTTAACACCCATGCAAAGTTCCACGAGAGCAAACCCATCGCATCTTGCTGGGTGATTTGAAAAGAAAAAAAATACTTTGATCATTTTGCTAAAAAATATAATCCTATCTCTTTGCTGCAGTTTCATCAACATTTGGCTGGCGTTTAGTAGCAGGACACACGAAGGTTTTCGGATCCCCCAATATCATTTTATTATTATTTGTATTTACCCAGGTACCTGATCTCCCTGCATCTATCTACGTGTTGATCAAATATATGGCACCAGAAAATGCAAAAACCTTTTTTCTCATTTTTGTCGTCTAATAAAATCTGCGAAAAAGCTTTTGTCATCCTTTTTTTTTAAAATGCAAAAGCAACATAAATATGGCAAACTGATGACATGATTCACAAATATGTAACTACTGTATTAAATAAGTATGTACACTCTTTTCTTTAGTTAATGTACAAAATCACATCAAACACCTTATACGTACTGCCATTTCTGGTGTAATTACCCCTGTATATTTGTATATATTTCCACATCTATGCCGTTGATCTATGTCCATGCTTATATCACCTCCTTTCGTTCTGTACACACACATGCAGCTCCAAAGCGCTACGCCAAATCCTCAAGACGAGTCCAAAGCCAGGGCGTGCATAACTAAAAACCGCTAAACAATTGTTAACGTCTTTACACCTATCGTCGATGCTTATTAAGCGGCCGATAGATAACCGCTTAATTAACGGTGACCCCCGGGAAGCCGAGCTGCGGGTGTGGCGACAGCGGCGGCAGGCTTCCGAACACGCCCTCCAGCTGCTCCCACGTCCAGCTCGACGGCGTCATGGGAAATACCTCGTGGTGGGCTCCAGCCTCCGACGACGGGGAGCACGTCGTCACCGTCGAGGCCGTGGTGGTCGTCGTTGTCGCGGGGGACAGCGACGTCAGCGACGACGCCGCCGATCCGAACGCCTCGGCCTTGACGGACTTGTTGGCTGCTGGCTCGGCCCCGGCCTCGGCGGCGTCGTGAGGCAGCTTCCGTTTGTTCTGGGACGTCGTCGTCGCCGCGGTCTGTGGGGGCGGCGGCGGCGGCGCGAGGAAGTCCGCGCCGCGGGAGCCCACCTCGTTGGGGAAGTTGAGGATGGCCTTGGCGCCTCGCATGCGGAACGCGGCGCGGTCGTAGGCGCGCGCGGCCTCGATGGCGGTGTCGTAGGTGCCGAGCCACACGCGGGACCCGCGCTTCTTGGGGTCGCGGATCTCCGCCGCGAACTTGCCCCACGGCCGCTGCCGCACGCCGCGGTACTTGCGGAAGTCGTTCACGTCCAGGGCCGCTGCCGCTGCCGCGGCCTGTGCCTGTGCCTCCACCAGCGGCACGGCCGCCGCCGGGCCCCAGGCGTGCGAGGTCGGAGGCAGGGAGATCGTGAGCAGCGGCCTCCGGCTGGGGTCCGACACCGGCGAAGGCTCGCCGCCGAACCGGATCATCACCGGCTCCGCCCGGAAGGCTGCCGCCTCGCCGGCCGAGGCGGCAGTGGCATCCGCGGCGTACTCGTTCGTCAAGTCGACGTACGCAACCTGCTGCTGTTGCTGCTGCGGCAAGAACGCCGCGGCGGGCTGGTGGAACGCCGTCTGCGTGGGATGATGAACTGACAAGCCAGAGTACACCGAGGCGTTAGGGACGAAGACGGCGGGGAGGCAAGCCTCGCCGCCGAGAAGCTGCTCGCGGATGAGCTGCAGGGAGAAGTCGTCGATTTCACCGCTGAAGTCCATGGCTCGGGTGTGGGGCTCGTGCTAGCTAGCTCGCGGGCGGTGTGTGTGGAGCTGAACTGGAGTCTGGAGGTCGCGAGGCAGCAGAGAGGACTCAGGAGTTTGGATGCGTGCGCGACTGCTAACTGCGGTGGAGAGGTTGAGCACTTGAGCTGGGCCGGCGAACTTATATAGGCGTGAGGGGAGAACTTTTTTTTTTCTTGATCAGATTTCCAGGTTTAGCAATAAAAGGAGATTGGAAGATGGGGAATATTACGGGCTCCATATAATTTATTGACGACACGCATGACCCGCTGTGAGGAATCCGGTAATTGCTTACTAGTCTCGTGTAACGAACCAGCTAAAAATGGAGAAGTGAGGGTTATCTGTCACGACTCACGACATCGCTGTACGTTCCACATCACCCGTCTTAAAGCTCAATAACAAGGTGATCTAAGAGCATTTTGCTCCTATAATGTACAAACAGGTAAACGATTTACTTATACAAAGTAAATCGGTAAATGACTTAACATTTGAGTACCTTTGTCATGTATATTAATGTACATATACTATCGTTGAGTGTTCCATGCATATTAATATTAATATACGAAATACCTGTACCGTTAAAAAAATGACATACCTGGTTAATATTAAATTATTAATATAAGAATGAAGTCCATTTGAGTGCTTATTAAAATTATCGTTGAGTCTAAAAACCCATCAACTCGAATACTAAAAACCATTTCAAAGCCGCTTTTCAGATAGTATATGTCAACCGGTCTCTCTTTCCCTCTCATCTCTCCCTTATATAAAGAACTAGCTGGAGGCCCCGTGCTTCGCACGTTTTTTTTTTAATTTTCAGGTGTGAACGAAAAAAAACGAAAAGGTTGGCACTGTTCCTTAGCGGGTCGGTACTGTTCATCGTGATCAGCTACTGTTTATCTACAGTGTTCTGTGAGGGCGCGCAGGCTGAACAGTGATGGCGACGTGACCCCCTCAAAATTATATTCTTTTATAGATCATAATTTTTCACATGAAGTCGAGTGAAAACAAGCATTATATCAAAATCAAGAAAAAAATAGTAATAAGTGGAAACAAATATAGTCATGTCATGATTGACATCAGTGCAGCAAAGTGCATGGGTCACAGGTATGAGATCAACAAACCATCAGTGATGGTTCCATAATTTCCTTGGCAACGCTTGAGACGTGATGGATGTTGACTCATTGACAAAGCCAGTGAGCGATTAGTTAAGGTTGTATTGGCCTCAACAAAGTAGAATTGTGATGAAAACAATAATATTATAGCACAAAAAATGCCCAATATAATGTACAAGATAGTTCAGAGAATTAGAGTTCAGATTTAGAAGAAGATGAAGGGTGGAAGGAACTGAGAAATGCCAGTGGTTTTATTGGTGAATGGAGCTCTTCAAAGAAAATTAAAGACTCTTGTTTTGGCATCGCTAAAAATTGCACGACCACTTGATATGAATGAGAGAAAAAAAGATGAAATGAAGACGACTATAGTTTAAAGCCAAGAAATTGATTGGTGATAGATATATGGTTGTTCGTGCCGATGTATCAACAAAAGAGATGACTAATACAACTAAACATTACAAACTATTTGCAAAAGTATTTTAAACAAAAATCTGTGTTATATAATGAAAAGAAAAAAAACCTAGTTATCCACTGGTACCATTTCTCTATTCTAAACTATAAATTGTTCTGATTTTTTCTAGTTAACATAATTTTTTACTTCAGAAAGTACCTAGAAAAGCAAACCGTAGGATGGGGAGAGTTATCTCGCTACATCTGTACTTACTGTACAGACCAGTGCCAGTGCGGTGCCTGGGTTCCTCCTCTAGCTTAGCAGGGCGAGTCAAGACTCGAGAGTCGTAACGTATAGTTTCGCAGGGAAGGGAAAGGGGTGAAAGGTCAAAGGTGGCGAGGAGCCTGACCCGTGGCCACTCGGACGACACAGATCAGCGGACCTGGCCTGGTCCGGCAAATAAACCACAGAGGTAGGCGGTAGCTGCCCTGGCGCTGCCGCTGTCTCGGCAAGTCGGTCCGATCGAGCTGCCGGCCCCTCCCTCTCGTTTTGACCTTGGGATGAGCGGCCCCACCGCGAACAGCAGCAGCACCTGTAGGCTGTGTAGTTAAGGCGGACGGCGATCGATCGATCTGCCGGTGTATGGCCTGCTCGTAGGTGGCCAATAAGCTTAAGCTTGACGGACGCTGTTTTGCTGTGAGAGAGGTTGACTGATAAATTTTAATTGAAACCAACAAGCGAATAGACTGGTTGATGGGTGGCCGACGGGATGTGCACATTAACTCCCGTGTAGTCGTGTAACTGTGCGTGACAGTAAGGTGGTGTTTGGTTGCCCCTTCTAAATTTTAGTTGTTGTTCCCATTGAATGTTCGAACACATGTATGAAGTATTAAATATAGACTAATTACAAAACTAATTGCATAGTTTGCGACTAATTTACGAGACGAATTTTTTAAACCTAATTAGTCTATAATTTGACAATGTGGTGCTACAGTAAACATGTGCTAATGACGGATTAATTAGACTTAAAAAATTCGTCTCGTGGAGTGCTAACAGATTATGTAATTTTTTTTTATTAATATTCAAACATCCTATATAACATCTTACCGATACACCCCTTAATTTTTAGTCGCTGGCCGCGGCAAACGCTGGCGAATAAAACGATCAAATAAAGCTGCACTGCGTCTGCTCAATCTACCACCCGCATGGCTCGCGTCCGCACGCCGCTCGGTGCGCCACGCCAAACTAGCGCAGGCCGCACACGCGACCGCAGAGGCGCGGACCGCCCCCACCCCGGCCCGAGCAAGCGGCGCTGCGGCCTGACCTCGCGGGGGTGGGTGGGTGAGGGACCTGACTGAGGGCATGCGAATCCTCCTCCCACGTTGGACGCTTGCGGGTAAGCATGACCTGAATTTTAGGCGATCCGGGTGCCGGCCGGCCGCGCGTCGAGACACGCACGCACGGCACGTCCAGGTCGGCTTGGCATGTTCGGCTGGCATTGAAGTTGTCTGATAAGTCGACTGAAGCTGTTTTGTTGTGAGTAAAAAATACTGTAGATTCTAACTGATAAGTCGGCTGATATGTCTAATGCACACGTGCACCCCGGGCCCTCATGGCCACGCGGTTTTTGCGTTAGCCATTCTTTTTTTTTTGTTCCTGATGAATCTCTTATATTCTTATTAGGCTGTAACATGTGCTGTCCTGCATAGTGCAGACGGATTAGACTAGTTACCCCTTTTAGGTCTGAACACATTACACATCACAGTTGATCAGGCTTTGGACGCGTTTGCTTAGCAAAGGTGCTCTAGTAGTGTGTGTGCTGTTTCCTTTTCTTCTTATTTTTAATCGTCGTACCGGCAAGAAACCGAATTTGTACTATTCGCATCGGTCTTCTAGTAGCTGGATTAGTTTAACACAGGGGTCTCTAGTCCCAACACGAGATTTCGCTGTCACAGCCCGGTAAGTGGTTACATTCACTAGGCAGGGGGACGAATAGACTGCCAGGGACAGGGATGGTGATTTGGAATATGCAGGGTGAATGAAGCAATCACCAACGTCGTGGCCTGCTAAGAGAAGAGGGCAGCATCCACACGCCCCCTGTCACATTGCCCCCTCCTGGGTAGTAACGGGCGGATGGATTAGCTAGAGTAATCCGACGATGCTTTGCTTAATACTTAGAGGACGATACTTTGCTTAATGCTTCCAGGAAAACACCCGTGTGTGTACCTGTCAGTCTGTCAAGTTGATCGCAATGATTAGAAAACGGCTGCATTGCTTTGAACGCATAAATCTATCGCGTCCGCGGTCTGATTCGGAGCTCAAACCGATGCAGGAATCTGAGTCCCTGACGGCTCCTCCCAGCTCTGAGCTCTGCACTCTCAACACCCAAGCTACACGTATCTTTCTAGACGGAAGCAGAAGCAATGCAGGCAGGCTGACAACTTGCTTCTCAGACCCAAACACCTGCACGCCTTGGGTATGCATTCCGGGCGGCACTACAAGATCAGATCGTTCCCTTTTTCGCAAAAAAAGAAAAGAAAAAAAGAAACAAGATCAGATCGTTCAGGTCTTGTTGGTCTGTGAGTGATAGTGGTAGTACTTTAATAAACAAAGAGAGTGATCTCCCTGAGTCTGAGCTCTGAGCTGACCGCTTCAAGGGGCGATCGCGATCCGATTACGGAAGCAATCAGGTTCCCTCAAAAAGCGTATTTTTGGACTCAAATCAGCGTCGGCCTGCCGCCTGAGCCCTGCGGTTGATTTGATCCGTTCGTGCGGTCTTACTCGTGTTTTGTCCCGCAGCGAGGGGCCGCGCAAGGAGACAGCGGATCGCTTCCAGCAGCAGCATTCATCAGGACCAGAACGAAGCGCAGCGGGCTCGGACAGCGCGCGCGTCAGTCCAAGAGCGTGAGCAGCAGCAACCAACTGATTGCGTGCGTCCAAGCTCCGTGATACGGTCGCGACCGTCTTACACGTTTGCAAATTGCTGTCGATGGGACACGCAGTGTAGAATTGTTCTCATTTTTCCAAAAAGATAGATTGCCTTCTTCTCTTCTGGAACTGCAGGTTCGGATTTGGACGTCCCGTATAAAGATACGAGAGATCACAGGGGCGTCAACCTGATTCGTCTACGGGTAGGGTTGAACGGCCTAGTGCTAAAACTATCTGGCAGACACTGCCGTTTGACTGGTTCAGGCGTTCTCCAGGGATTGAGACAAGAACAGTGAGAAGAATGCAGCTGGAATCACCATCGAATTTTGTATCATTCGTGTGTGTTCGTATGGCACTAGCCACTTTACTAACAGAACCACTACTGGCATTATCCTACACCTACGGCTTCATCTTTATGCGTCCCGTGGACCATGAGATCCTTTCTGTTTGACGAAGAATTGCTCAACATTCCTTTGCATATCGCTACAGACCAACAGTAACTGAATAAATAACTAAGCGCGTCCATCCAACCAGGATTCAGTTGCGGG